TGAACGATGAGCGCTGACAAACAATCACGCCGCCCATTCACGCAGCCTCACCTGCCGACCGTCAGCAGCAGCAGCAGCAGCAGACATTCTCCGTCACGCAGTGAAGCAACTTTAGCAGCCGGGGAATGTAGCGCTGCAAACTTGAAGCCGACAGATGGTGACGAATAAGGAAAGGGAAGAGAGGAGACGGATCTTTCTTCGAGTTGGGGTAAAGTGCTGCTCCGAAACCCGCGGCGGTGCGCTCTCATGCACCCCCAGCACTCCGTGCGTGGTTGGGGGCGATGTTTGCTGGCTGGCCACCTGGGGATGGGCGGTATCTACGTATGGAGTCATGGTGCCTGACGCACGCACGCACGCCGCCTTCAAGCTGCTGCTGGGGTGGCGTGTGTGCGACGCTGTGTGCCTGCTTGTATGTGGCCGTCGTTCGCAGCGCATTGCATATCCTCCTGTCTGCTGCATCTGCCCTCTGCGTGCTGCGTGTTGCGTGTCCGGGCTGCATGTTCGGGTGCGTGTTTCATGTTGGACAGACCGACAGGGGACTTGGCCGTCAGGCCACCTAGGGTGCTCCCTGAAACCGCTTCTTCGCTGGTCGCTTCTGGAGTTCCAGCCAAATCACCCATTCCTTCATCGAGCTATCAGCCTCGTAACCAACCAAGTGACACACGTGAGTCAGTGAAGCAACTGCAGAGAATGTCTGCTGATGATAATGATGATGATGACGGCTGCCAGGTGAGGCTGCGTGAATGAGTGAGAGGCGGCGTCACTGGCGTGATTGTTTATCAGCTCATCGTTCACTCGACGTCTGTGTGTGATGACAGGCTGCCCCTGCTGCAAGCGATGAGGATCACCGACGCGCCGAGAGGGAGACGGAACTTAGGCAGGCCATCGCAGACACGGTAGTCCAAATGACCCAGACAGTCTGAATGAAGCGCCTGACTCGTCGGCTATCTGTGTGTCTTTGCCTTTGTGCAGCCTGGTCTTGTCAACTGCATCACGGCCTTTCTGCCCCTTTATCTGCTCGGCCTGCTGTCCAACACGGCCTGGGACCATGCAGCGCCCACACACACCCATCTCACCATCGACAGCACCAACAGCAACGAGCGGTCGGTGTGGCAGCGGGTCCCTCTCGCTCTCGTCACCCAATGGGCCAACAAACTCACTCGGCTGACGGCAATTACTCTCCGCTACCCCGTGGGTAAGGCTCTGTGGTGCATCGACGTCTTCATCACCGTGATCGAGGGCCATGTTGCCGGACGGCGAGCAGCCAACATGAATGGCGGCACCCTGCGGTCCATCATATTGGAGGGGGTGCGATTGGCTAAGAGGGAGATGAGTACCGTCCGCCGACCACAGCAGCTACCCCCTGACCAGATTGCGCTTGTCGTCCCCCCTCCATCCCTTGATGCGCTCACAACCATCACCGGCCTCCTTTACGACCATCGTTTCCTTGCCGACAGAGACTGGCGGATGCCGTTACTCGAGCGCGTGGAGCAGGACAAGTGGGTTCCGGACGAGCTGGGCCAGTTCATCTGCTCGTCGCGGTCGCTGAAGCACGTGGGCGGGGATTTGGGATTCGGGAGTCTGTGGGCCGTCGGCGGGGGGGGTGGATAGATGTGTTTAAGCGCATGCCCGAGGCAGCTGCTGGGCAGAGAGGGCCACTTGCAGGCTTGCAGAGTATCGGCCCCATCAGGATTCCGACTTACCAGGCCAGTGCAGCGGTCGACAGACTACAGGTAACTCAGCCAAGAATACAGATATATAGCTGCACGTGCCAGAGAGGTCTTGGTGGTGATCGCAGCATGTGTGTGTGCTGTAGATGGCACTCGTGTCGCGTGGCTGCCGTCGGTCGCTCACTCGGCTGACGGTGTCGACGGGCTTGTACGGCTTCGACAGCAGCGTCCTTCCCCTCCTGCAGTCCCTCGAGTCGCTGCACAGCTCGTGCTGCCGACCCGACGCCGAAATCGCCTTCGAGGCCCGATATGTCGGCAGTTTCGACCTGTCACTCTTCTACAGCGACCACCTTCTCCCTACTACGTCCCCTCTCGTCATGACGACCATCCAGGCGGCCGCACGGAACGCGATACACCTCAACTACGACATCAGCCAGCATGGCTTCACCCATCCCGTCGACAGCCCCAGCCAGGCGGCCATCGACATCGCCAAGACACTCACATTCGACACCGTGAACGACGTGATTGTCCGCAACGCCCATGGCTTCGTCCCCCCTCCCAACACCCCTTCACCGCAGCCCGCCATCATCGACCACCTACAGCAGTTCCCAAGAGCCCGAGAGTTGCGCGTCGAGAGTGCTCATGGTGGTGCGGCAGGACGGCTGTTGGCAGAGAAGATGCCGAGTAAGGTGGTGAAGGTGACGTTCGGCGAGTACGTGAGTCTATAGGACCGAAGTGGCGTGCTGGAGGCGCTGGGGTCGCTGAGGGAAGTAGAGGAAGTCGAGCTCTGTTCAGATCGGGGTTGGCTTGCTCTCGCTAAGGGCCCCTTAGATGGCTGGGCATCGGACAGTTTCCCATCAATTCACAACATAAACATCGCGCTGGCAGGTATGTAATGCACCGGAATCGAGGACTCTGGCTGGCTTATCTATTTGTGCATTGCTGCCACCTGCTGCTGTACGTGTGCTGTTTCTCAGTACTCGAAGATTTGGAGCCCGCTGCTGCTGCCGAGCGGATCCCCGACGGCATCTCCTCCATCGTCGGTGGCGTGCGGGGCCTGGTGCGTTTGACGGTGGATGTCTTTGGGCCTTGGGGAGCTGATCAATCAGATGAAGAAGCGTTTAAACTTGCTATACAGCAGCTGCTCCTCGACGGGACGAGAATTGGCGATAACTTCACTATCAGCAACATTGACAAATGCACGTGTATGGGTCTTCACCATCAAGTGACTGCAAGTCGCTCTTAGAGGGTGAGCGGGACCAGAGGGAGCAGTGCAGGCATCGCCCTCATATAGTGTGTGTGTGTGTCTTCACGCTGCGTGTCGAGTCAGCTGTGACATAACACAACAGCACCACGCCATAGGACGCACATCTTTTGAGTCTGTCCTTGCCGTACGTCTACTGCACGGCATTGCTACTATACCTCTTCGTCTGTCTGTCTGGCTGGCTGGCTGGCTGTCTGCCGGCTGTTTTTTCCATGACTGCGGTGGATAAAGGTATGCTTGCTAATCGTGCTGCCTTTCTGCTGCTGCTGCCACTTGTCTGATCCCTTTCTAGCCGGCCGACCATCTCTGTGTTTCTCTCTCTCTCCTTGGGTCGAGAGTGGGGTGGTGAAGGATGGCCAACACGACCATGGTGGTCGAGCAGGGGCCCCGGACAGACAGAGGCACGAAGACACAGACAGATGCATACTGCGTGTCGGCGTGGTGCAATTCGATTCTCGTCGACATGAGGCTATGGCCTGCTTGAGTGTGGGTGTCCCCATTGCTGCTGAGTGAATGAACGGGTGAATGCATCTCTTTGTGTGACTCATCCAACATACACACCCGCGCCAACCGAATGTCGACATATGCGTCATGGACAATGAGTCAAAATGAATGCACCGCTCGGGAACTCGTCCGGCTGCCCGGAACCCGGCACAGGGCAGCGTAGTTTTCCGCAGTCCACTCCCTTCGCACCCGTGCGAGCTTGAGCTCGCCATCCGGGGAGAAAGGAAAGCGAAAAGAACATCTCTGCGTCGTGTGACAAGGTGCGCGTGGTGGCGGGCCGCACATCAGCCTGATGCATCTGTCCATCTCATCTCCTATATGCGTGCAGGGCCCCCTGTGTCTGCTGTCGGTGTGGTGTGGTGTGGTGTGGTGCCACTGTCCCCCTGCGAAGCTCTCTCTCTCTGGTGTGCTGCTGTGTTGTGATCACCATGGCGTCAAGCGCATATATCAACCAACTGCTCGAGGTCAGAAGAGCTTGGGAGAGATAGATGTGCACACAGACAGTCAGGCAGACAGACAGGCAGAGAGAGAGATGGACACACAGCCCAGTTGATTGTGGTGGTGGGTCGTGCCGTGTCATTCAGGCAGAGAAGCGTGCACAGGAGATCGTTGAGCAGGCCCGTAAGAAGAAGGCCGCACGACTCAAGGTACCTGCCTTGTCGGGACCATTGCCCTCCCCCCGCCCCTACCCCCTCTCTCACACATACAAACACATGTGTTTCTGTCGTTCCTTTCTCCATCTCTGTGGTTGATTGGCTGGCTGGCTGGTTGGTTGGTTGGTTTGTTGATGCAGGAGGCCAAGAACGAGGCTGACAAGGAGTTGGTGGCCTTCCGGGAGCAACAGGAGAAACTCTTCAACGAACATAAAGTATGTGCGCAGAGGTGTGTATGTCGTTCTTTGCCCTCACACTCTGTCTGTCTGTCTGTCTGTCTGGTGCTTGTGTGTGTGTGATGTGCAGGCCCAGATGGGTTCCAACACTGGCGAGCAGCAGCTCATCACCGAGACGGAGAAGACCATTCAGGTAGACAGACATACATGCGTGTGGGCCCACACAGAGGTGGGTGGGTGGCTGCACAGAAATGTGTGTGTGTGTGTGTGTGTGTGCAGTCGATCAATGAGACTTTCAAGAAAAACAAAGAGGGCGTCAAGAAGGTGAGTGGCAGCGCGCATCCATTCAACCACACGCTTGCTGCCCTTCTGCCACCGTTCCCTCTCCACCTCTCTCTCTCTTCCTGTGTCTGTGTGTCTGACAGTATGTGTGCGATATGGTGTCGGCCATCGATCTCGACCTGCCACAGGCATACCAACATACACAAACCACACACAAACACACACACACACACATACTCACACACATCAACAGACAGACAGACACAGAGGAAAATGTGTGTGTGTGTGGGGGGGGGGGGTGTGTGGGTCTGTGTCTGTGTGCAGGCCACCAAGCAGTCGCTGGAGCAGGAGCAGGGGGCCAAGAAATAGGCAATCAATAGGCACCAGACACCGGAAAGGAACGGACACACAGACAGACAGACGGACAGAGAGGAGTCAGTAGAGTAGGGCTGTTTTGCCAGTGGGGTGAGGTGAGTGAGTCAGTCAGTCGTCAGGTGTACATAACGATGCTATGCTGCTATACCTCAATATGTATCAACTGATGGATCGATGGCTGGATGGCTGGATGAGTGGCGTTTTTCTCGCAGCCTGGATGGCTGGGCGGATGTCATCACATAGGAGCGATTCATTCGATGATTGAGTGGCTAGGCCGATCCTCTTACTTTCTCTGTTTCTCCCCTTCCCTCCCCTTTGTGTGCCCACCCGTCTCTCACCCACCACACCGAAGCCACCTCGTCCATCTGTGTGTGGTTGTGCGCCTGATGTCGGTGTGGATGGATGGATGGATGGTTTAAAAGCTGACACACAGACAGACAGACAGACCTGCTGTGTATCTGTATGACTGCACGTGCACTGTCGACTTCTGCTGGATTGCGAAAGCTGGTGGAATGGTGTAATGGATGGCCGCCTTCATCGACCAGATCTTTGCTGTTGCTACATTGAGAATCGTCCACTCACACGGTTTCACGGAGCACCCCACCGCTCGCATGTGTGAGCTCAGCTGTCTTCGTGAATCAAGCGCGAGGAGCTGCCTCCAAGGGCGTAGAAGACGCAGCCAAATATGTCGTCTGGTTTCGTGACGGACCGATTGTACCGAGCGGAGTTGGTCCGAGACTGTGACCACTACTCTCACCGACCCCCCTGCCGGCAGCATCGGCGATGTGCAGGACCATCTCTTCACCTGGTTCAAACACATAAAGGAGGCGCACCCCGCAGAGATCCAGTTCGTCGGAAAGCCAATCGTTGCTGACCGCTCAGTTCCCATCAGGTCTTTCTTCCAGGAGCACGAGGGTGCGACCAGGCAAACGACTATCGTCTTCTACAGACAACCCGGCCATGAGAGTATGTGTGTGCGGAAGGAGGGAGGCACTAGGCCGACCAGATGTGATTCGTATGTTGTGGTGTTGTTTGCGTGTGTGTCAGGAGCAGAGAACAACGCCGCCGCGACTCCCATCCGGCCATCTACGCAGCAGCAGCAAGGTAGAGGTAGAGCGACACAAAGGCACGCGGGAAGGCAAGGCTTGTGCCTGTGTTGTCTGATGCAGATGTCGTGGTGGAGTCTACTGCCGGCCGTCCAAAACGGCGTGCAGTACGTCGTGAAGAAGCGTGAGTGACGGCTATATGCGTGTGTCTTCATGAGCTGGCCAATATGGGACACTAAGACATACCAGTAGGTGGGTGTGCGTGTGTGTGGAGGGAGGGAGGGAGGGAGTGCTATTTGTTGCTTTATGTTGGTTGTGTCGGGCAAGTGGGAAGCGATTTACTGAGCAGATTTGGTATGATTGATGGGCTGATTTGACGATGAGTAGTTTGTGCGTGGACGTGTGTGCGTGTTGAGATTGTCGTGTAGATGAGGCATGGATTGGTCAAGGACGGACAGCACAGCGAAGAGGCCGCCCCCGGACCAAGCAGAACACACAGACAGGCAGACAGACAGATGCATATCGGACATACGCGCATCAATTCGATTCTCGTCGACGACATGAGGCCACGGCCTCTGTGAGTGTGCTCCCATTATGTCCCCACGATCAACGGTTGACACGACGGAATGGCTCGCTGGCTTTGCACAGCTTCACACACACCGACGCACAGACACACACACGGAAGTCATTTACTCAAAATGAACGCGTCCATGCATGAGTCCGCCATTCCACCCACTAGCTTCGTGTAGACACCAACAGGTACACACACATACACACTCACGATCACATGGCAGCATTCCGTTTGAATGCGCCTATCCCGTCCTCGTGGGACACAACTGTGAGTGTGTGCACACCAACAGCGGAACAAACGCACCCCCTCCCACACACACACGCTCGCCTCGCTGCAAGCGACGTCAGCCAGGGGTCCGCTTGTCTGCCCTTGACACGGCCCACACACACATTGATGGCCACAGTGCGTCTACAATGAGAGTGTTGGTGTATTGTGTCTTGCGGCATGTGAGATGTGGGATGTGTATGGGAGCGGGAGCATCAGCCGACAGACACAGCAGAGAATATCCACCCACTCACGTATTCACCAAACAAGTGTCGACAACAATTAATGCTGCGTTCTGTGGTGTATACCTGTGTGCACTCGACAGACACCCTGAAGACACACACACACACACACACGTACACACAAGATAGGGGTGATGGATGCATTGCTATGCCTCTTCTCGCTTACCCTTTAAGAGCGACGAGTTGCAGTCAAGCGGACAGTCGATGTTCGGTATATCTCACCTTTTTCGATGGTGAAGTTGCTACCGACCTCTGTGCCGATGGGGAGAAGCTGTCGAACAGCAGCGCGAGTGGCGTCGCTGCCACGCACTACCAGGGTCAGACTCCGCAGGCCCCGCACGCCATCCACGATAGACGAGATGCCGCTGCGGATTCGCTCAACAGCCGCTGAGGGCTCCAACTCATCGGGCACTGAGGAATAACAACGAATAACACACACACGGCCAGAATACACACATAGGCTGGACAAGCCAGAATCGTCTCTAAACTGCACTGCATTGCATACCTTTTACGAGTATTTCTAGGTTGTAAATCGATGGGTAGCTATTCGATGACCAGCCGTCAAAGGCGCCGTCAGTAAGACTGACAGCATACCAGTGAAAGCTGCTGCCTTGCCACCGGAAGGGCCTGGCGACAGTGACCGTTTCCATTTCCCCCTCCGTCCCTAGTGCCTCCAGGACGTTCCTCCTTTCGTCTGCACTCAGAGCTGAGTCGAACCACAGCGACTCCACCTTCTTCGGCATCTTCTCTGCCAGCAACCGAGCCGTAGCACCGCCAACAGAGCTGAGGACCTGTAGCTGCCGGGCCGTTGGAAACGGCTGCAGGTGGTCGATGATGGCGGGGCGGGGCGAGGGGGTGTTGGGAGGGGGGACGAAGCCATCGGCGTTGCAGACCGACAACTCATTCACGCTGTCGAATGTGAGTGTCTTGGCGATATCGATGGCCGCCGGGCTGGGGCTGTCGACGGGGTGGGTGAGATCATGCTGGCTGATGACGTACACCACCCTCCTCGCCTTCCGTGCGGCCGCCTGGATGGCGCTCTTGAAAAGTGGGGAGGGGTTGGGGGGAAAGTCGTCGCTGTAGAAGAGCGACAAGTCGAAACTCTGGTGGACATTAGGGTCGGCCTCAAAAATGACGTTGGCGTCGGGCCGGCAGCACGACTTGTGCAGCGACTCGACGGACTCCAAGAGGGGAAAAACCCTGCTGTCGATAAGCTGGCGGCGGAAAGGTGGGTAAGTCCTGACCAAAAAGCTCATTTCCACCACCAGCTGAGTGAGCGACCGACGGCAGCCACGCGATGTGAGTGCAGCCTACAGCACACACGAACAGCAAAGACACGTGGCGTAATCACATTCAAACTTGGTCTGTCTTGCTTTCTCATTCATTTCTGCTGAATTACCTGCAGCCTGTCGACCGCTGCACCGGCCTCGTCAACATCGCCGGCCAGCTGGATGGTGCCGATACTCTGCAGCTGACTCAGCGGCACCGGCTGCCCAGCCGCTGCCTTGGGGATGTGCTCAAACACCGCCGCCGCCCACTGCTCACCCAGCAGATGGCTGGGGGCGTACTGCAGATCCCCACTTATGTGCTGCAGCGACCGTGACGAGCTGACGAAGCGGCCAAGCTCGCCCGTGTACCACCCCTGCTGCTCCAGGCGCTCGAGTGATGGCATCCGCCACCCTCTGTCGGCCAAGACACCATGGTCTCCGACGGCTCCTGTGACGGCTTTGAGTGAGGGGAATGTGGGGGCCTCGGTGAGGCGAGGAGGGAGAGGGAGACTGCGTCGCTCCACTTCACGTTCCTCCGCCTCACTCATCCGCACCTCTTCGAATGCGATGGTCTCCAGCCGACTGGCCGACGGTCGCACCTCGGAGGGCCTCTGGGGGGCTTCTCCCTGTGTGCCGGGCTGGTCGGTGGCGGGAGGCGGCTGAGAGGGGGAGGGCGGGGCGGCTGTGGTCTCAATGATGGTCACCAACACGTCAGTGCACCACATAGGCTCATGCTCAGGGTGGCAGAGGGCGATATGAGTGAGGCCGGTGAGCCGTGCCGCCATCCGCTTGACGAGGTCCAGAGGGATGCGCTGCCAAAAGGTGCGGCCCTCGGTCGGCGATCGCCAGCAGTGCTCGTCGTCCTTGGTGGCCCAGTCGATGAAGAGTCGTGTGTGGCTGGGGGCCGCCTGTTCCCACATCTGCTTGGTGCTCTTGGCCAGCCGCTGGGAGAGGGGGATGAGCACATGAAGGGGCAGACACTCCATCACCAACGAACAAATCTGCACAACACACACAGTGAGAGCGGCAGGAGTGAGTGTGTCAGTCATTCACCGTAGATCCCCTCTGGCCGGTCTCACCGTTTCGATGCGCTGGCGCTTCTCTTTGTCGCCGGCCGCTGCACTGTCCTCTACACCACTACAACCAGCCGGGCCGCCAGCCACACGTGCGCGCTTGTTGCCGTCGCCAACACAAACCTGGACAGACAGACGCAGCCATGGGCCGATCCATGTGTGTGTGTGTGTCTGTCTGTCTGTCTATGTCTGCTTACGGCTTTGGAGTGCTGCGATTCTGAGTTGGTCTCAGCCGAACTCACAGCTGTGCCTACTCGATGGATGCACCGAAACAACCTCCCGTCGCCATCAGAGCCCTGACCACACACACACCAAGCTCTCCTCTTCCCGTGTGACTGCTGTAGGGTGTGCGAACCTGTTGCTGATGCGGTGGTGTGTGGGTCTGATTGAGCGGGACGACCTTCTGGAACGGCTCCCGCACCCCGTTGACCGCCTCCACCGCCCTAAGGTGCACCACTGTCCCTCCCTCGGTCGGCTGCACGCGATACACCTCGGCCAGCGCCATGCCCCTCTTCGCGACAGTCGACACCATCCACACACGAGTGCCCTCCTCGTAACACTGAGTCCCACGGCGGGACACCAGCTGCTGAAACGAGCAAGCACACGGATGAATCACATACTGGTTCACGTGTGCTGTCTTGACTGACCGGCGTCTGCGGCTGAGATCCAGCGGCGGAAGATGACGAAGCGGAAGAAGCCATGGCGCCAATGAAGCAGTGAACCGAAGCAAGCAGCAGACGTCAAATGAGCGCCTGCAAGGTCAAGCGGGATGGATAAGTTGTGTTGCTTTGGCTGTGTGTTCCTTCACTCGCTGCTCACGTGTGTCCCGAACTCGCTTGGCTCGAGACTGATATCTTGAAGCAAGGCTGATTCGACAACTGCTTCGTTGCCTGTGGGTCGCCCAGACTTGCACAGGCCCACAGCTACATACACCAGCACTTAGTACCACTGGCACTTACCCTAACTTGCCTCAGAGAGATCGGTCTTTCTCTCTCCCATTCCCATGCGTCCTGTCGTCGTTGTCCATCAGACTCGCAGACTCAGACCGTTTGTGCTTGATTCGTCAACCATCTGTCGGCTTCAAGTTTGCAGCCACATTCCCCGGCTGCTTGCTTCACGGATTGATGTCTGCTGCTGCTGCTGCTGGAGATGACGGCTGGCAGGTGAGGTGAATAAATGGGTGGCGTCGTCATTGGCGTGATTGTTTGTCAGCTCATCGTTCACTCGTCTGTGTGTGTGTGCAATGACAGGCCTCATCTGCCGCTGCTGCAAGCGATGAGGATCAGCGACGCGCAGAGAGGGAGAGGGAACTCAGGCAGACCATCGCAGACACGGTAGTCCAAATGACTCAGACACGGCGAATGAAGCGCTGACTCGCTCACTCAGTGTGTGTCTTTGCCTTTGTGCAGCCTGGTCTCGTCGACTGCATCACGGCCTTTCTGCCGCTCCATCTGCTCGGCCTGCTGTCCACCACGGCCTGGGAGCACGCAGCGCCCACACACACACACCTCACCATCGACAGCACCAACAGGAACGAGCGGTCGGTGTGGCAGCGGGTCCCTCTCGCTCTCGTCACCCAATGGGCTAAGAAATTCACTCAGCTGACAGCAATTACTCTCCGCTACCCCGTGGGTAACGTCGTGGGTAAGGCTCTGTGGCGCATCGACGTCTTCATTACGGTGATTGAGTTGAATACCACTACCCTGCGCACGATCGCATTTATAGAAGGGGTGCGATTGGTCAAGCGGGAGATGATGACCGTCGGCTCCCGACGGCAGCAGCGCCCTCTAAGACAGATCGCGCCTCTCGTCCCGCCGCCATCATTGGACTCGCTCACGACCATCACCGGGCTCCGCTTCCCTCATCGCGCCCTGGCGAGCAGAGGCTGGCGGATGCCATCACTACAGTGCGTCGAGCAGCAGGGGTGGAGGGCGGATGAGCTGGGCAGCTTCATCAGCTCGTCACGGTCGCTGCAGCACGTTGGCGGGAGGCTGTGGGGTGACGGTGAGCGGTGGGCCAGTGTGTTTGAGCTCATGCCTGAGGCAGCTGCTGGACGGAGAGGGCCACTTGCACGCCTGCAAAGCATCGGTAGAATCGAGCTGCGCGGCAATTTTGACCGCGTCTTCCACTATGCCTGTACAACGGTCGACACACTGCATGTAATTCAGCAGAAATGGCTGACCAAGTTTGGCTGTGATCACAGCATATGTGTGTGCTGTTCGTGTGTGGTGCAGGCTGTGCTCACATCGCGTGGCTGCACTGAATCGCTGACTCAGCTGGTGCTGTTGATGAGCACTCGAGGAGAACATCCTATCAGGATAGACAGTCGTATTCTTCCCCTCTTGCACTCCATCGAGTCGCTGCATAACTCGTGCTGCCTACCCAACGCCGAGATCGTCTTCGAGGCGTCTTCGAGGCGTCTTCAAGGCCCTACTTTCGACCTGTCGTTCCTCCATGCGGACACATTCCCTTCTCACCCCTCCCTCCCGCTCAAGATGGCCATCCAGGCGGCTGCACGGAAGGCGACACAGCTCGAGTATTTCATCAGCCAGCATGACCTCAGCCACCCCAGCCAGGCGGCCATCGACATCGCCAACACACTCACATTCGACAACGTGGAGCGCGTGTGGGTCAAGGACGCCAATGGCTTCGTCCCCCCTCCCGGAACCCCCCCGCCCCGCCATCATCGACCACCTGCCACGGTTCCCAAGAGCCAGAGAGCTGCATGTCGAGAGTGGTCTTGGTGGTGCGGCAGGTCGGCTGCTGGCAGAGAAGATGCCGAGCAAGGTGGAGTTCGTTGACTTCGGGGCCGAACGTACTCGCTGGTTCAGGACGAGTTGGTTCAGGACGACTGTGAGTCCACTGGATATAAGGAGCGTGCTGGAGGGGCTGGGGGCGGGAAGGGAGGTGAGCAAAGTCAACGTCGGCGGTGTACGGTGGTGGCAGGATGTCGGTGCGGTCAGTCTCGCTCAGAATCCCTTTGACGGCTGGTCATCGGATAAGTTCCCATCGATTCACAACCTGGTCATGAGGCTGTCAGGTACGCAATGCATTCCTATCGACAATTCTGGCTGGTCCGTCTTATGTGTGCATTTCTGTTGTCTGTGAGCTATTCCTCAGTTCCCGGCAATCTGGAGAGCACTTCTGCTGCTGAGCTGATCCGCGACGGCATCTCGTCGGTTGTGGATGGCGTGCGGGGCCTGAAGCGTTTGGGGCTGACGGTGTGCGGTGGCAAAGGCGTTCAGGAGTGGCTCTTATATGTGACCATTGCGTCAACGGACAGTGCGCTGGACATCTACAGTGCTCTTGGCGTTAGTACGGCTCGGCTGCTGGCAGAGAAGATGCCGAGGAAGATCAAGGAGGTGTGCTTCGAGACAACAGTGAGTCCAGAAGGCAGAAGGAGCGTGTTCGAGGTACTCGGGGTGGAGAGCGAAGTGGACACTGTCGAGGTCGGTAGAGGATGGCGGGGTGAGGTCAGTCTTACTGACGGCCCCTTTGACGGCTGGTCATCGAATAAGTTCCCATCGATTCACAACCTGGTCATGCATCTGTCAGGTACGCAATGCATTGCAATGGACAATTCTGGCTGGTCCGAGTCTGGTCCGTCTTTTGTGAGTGTTGTCGCCGTGTGTGTCGCCACTCAGTGCCCGACGAGTTGGACCCCTCTGCTGCTGCCGAGCGCATCCGCGACGGCATCTCGTCTATCGTGGATGGCGTGCGGGGCCTGAAGCGTTTGAGGCTGACGGTGCGTGGTGGCAAAGGCGTTCACAAGCTGCTCTTATCTGTTACCATTGCATCAACGGACAGTGAACTGCACATCTACAGTCCTCTTGGCGTTGGTACGGCCCAGATGCTGGCAGAGAAGATGCCCGGCAAGGTCAAAGAGGTAAAGTTCGAGACATCAGTGAGTCCACAAGATAGGAGGAGCGTCCTGAAAGGCCTGGGCGTGGAGAGGGAGGTGACCAATGTCACTGTCGGTGACTGGTTGGGGCAAGTCAGTCTCGCTGATGGCCTCTTTGACGGCTGGGATAGTTTCCCATCAATCGACAACATATGCATGTGGTTGTCAGGTATGCACCGGAATCGAGGATTCTGGCTGGCCCATCTTGAGTGTGCACTGCTGCCGTGTGTGTGTGGTGTCACGCAGTGCCCAAGAGCTTGGACCCCTCTGCTGCTGCCGAGCGCATTCGCGACGGCATCTCATCCATTGTGGATGGCGTGCGGGGCCTCCGGCTTTTGACGCTTGATGTTGATATGTGGGGCAGTGAAGCCACTCGCGCTGCTGTTGAGCAGCTGCTACCCGACACACAAGTCGGCACCAACTGCATCATCACAACACATTGGGACAGGCTCAAGGAGGATCGCATCGTGATTACGTGTCGCTCTAGAGGGTGGGTGGGAGGAGAGAGAGAGCAATGTATGCATCACCCTCATACTGTGTATGTGTGTATGTCGTCAGCCTGAGGCTGTCTGTCGAGCGCACATAGGAAGACACCACCGTACGTAGCTTTGCCGCCGACCCTTGTTTGGTGTCCGGCTGGCTGTATGGACGGACGGATGAGTGGATGGATGTTCTCCCCTGTGTGTGTGCCGGCTGATGCGGCCTGTCCATCCCACACACACCACAAGACACAATACACTAACACACTCGCGTTGTGGGCTAATAGACACATTGTGTGAGGGCAGAGAAGCGGTCTCTCGACTGCCGTCGCTTTCTGTGTGCGTGGGAGGGGGTGCATTATTTGTTAGTGGTATGCACACACGGATGATATGAGGCATCCAAAGTGAATGCCTCCATTCAGATTTGTATTTTTGTGTGTGTCTGTGTAAGGTGTGTCGAATGAATGATGGACACGCGGACGCGTTTATCTATCGACCAGCTGACTTCCGTCCGTACAGCTGTGCATGTCTGTCTGTGTGTGTCTATTCTATCTATGCGAAGCTGTGCAGACCCACCGACCCACTCATTTGCGTCAGTCATCCAGCCATTCATCTCATCTCGCGTACCGAACCAGTCTATCTCCGACACATACTCACCGAGAGAAGCGTCCATTCCATACACGGACACACACACATACTTACAGCCAGCAGGTGGGCGGGGGAGGGGTACGTGAGTCGGGCTGCATAGAGGTGCAGCTGTGCACCTCCACACCAACACAGAGAATCGCCATTAATACGTACACGTGCAATGTCTGTCCATCCAAAACCGACAAACGAACCAACAATCGAAATGAACCTCTCCACTGTCCCTCCATCCATCCATCCCTCCCTCCCTCCCTCGTGTGTCTGTCCGTCTGCTGGTTGGCCTGGCTCCACCGGGCGTGTGCCCTTGATGACCCCACGCATCTTGGGCCGACAGACAGGCCCACAGGTAGACAGAGATGGTCGGCCGACCTTCCACATCGACGTTGCTGACTGATAGATCCTCGATCTCCACAGCGCTCCGGCTCGTGATCCTTTCACTCCCTCGTGACACTGCGAGCTATTAGTCGACCCGACTGGCGAGGGGAAACAAGCGAAAACAGCGCAAGATGGAGCGTGAGAGGCGGCCTTATCTATCGCTCTGCCCATACTGGCGATTATAGCGTGGCGTCGATGAGTCATTCCATCCTTTGATCTCGAAGACGCGTCGCCCCGTCACAGGCTGGGACGCTGGCTAAAGAGGCGCACTTGGATGCAGGCAACGTAGCATGCAGCAACCTTTGCTGCGGTTTACACATTGTGATGGATGTCACGCTCATAGATATCTTACATATGTTGTGTATATCGCAGCCAGCGGTCAGTGGTGTATATATATACATGTTAATGGTGCACAGATATGGGAGGGACGACTCGTGTGCCGTGCTGTGCCGTTTATGTGTGAACGCCATGAGACCACTGACTTGCCGTGACCTATTTTTGGTGCATTCCAATGTGGTGACTCACCCACTCATCGTAACGCCGCGGCGCTCTCCACACACTCACACACGCACACACACAAAGTGTCTGTCAGCCCACAACGCGAGTGTGTTAGTGTATTGTGTCTTGTGGTGTGTGGGATGGACAGGCCGCATCAGCCAGTACACACACAGCGGAGAACATCCACCCATCCATCCAGCCAGCCAGCCATCCATCCAGCCAGCCAGCCAGGCACCAAACAAGGGTCGGCGGCAAAGCGACGTACGGTGCTGTCTTCGTGTGTGCGCTCGGCAGACAGCCTCAGGGTGACGACACACCCACACACGCCCACACACACAGACGCACACCCACACACACACACACACACCAGCATGGCAGCGATAGGCAGCACTTCAGCACCACCAACACACAATCACAGCCCCCATGATGGCATACGTGTGACACAACTGCTCAAGCAGTTGCCGACCAGAAGGGCGGCGGAATGACTCAGCCGCACACACCTGTCCGCCGCAGTCATGGGCAAACACAGCCGCCAGGCAGACAACGGCATACCAGGTCTCCGTCCATCCATCCATCCATCCATCCACGAAGCGGCCATGCGACAGACACACCATTACACCCACCCTCCCTCCCTCCCTCCCTCTCTGTCTACGGGGTGTGAGTGCTACGGTAGGATGCTGTTGTGTCATGTTGTATGCTCTCGACGCACAGCCTGACCACACATCAGCACACACACATTATGTGAAGGCAATGATTCATTGCTCTGCCTGTTCGTCGCTCACCCTCTAAGAGCGACGAGTTGCAGTCAGGCGAGTCCCCCACCATGCCGTGCCCGTGTCGATGGTGAAGTTGTCGCCGACCTCCGTGCCGGTTGGGAGGAGCTGCCGAATGGAAGCGCGGAAGGCTCCGCTGGCACACACATCCACCGTCAAACGCTCCAGGCCCCGCACGCCACCGACGATGGACGAGATGCCGTCGCGGATGCGCTCGGCAGCAGCAGAGGGCTCCAACTCGTCGGGCACTGAGGAAGGAACAACACACACAGCAGCAATGCACACACACAAGATGAGCCAGCCAGTATCCTTTGTTGCAGAATATTGCCTACATGACAACCCCATGTCTATGTGGCCAATCGATGGGAAGCTATCCGATCGCCAGCCGTCCAATGGACCCTCAGTGAGACTGACCGAAGGCCCCCGTAGGCCCACATCAACAGTGCCCACTTCCCTCTCCGCGCCCATCGCCTCCAGCACGGCCCTGCGGTCCTCTGCCCTCACACCTCGGCCGAACTCCACCCTCACGACCTCTCTGCGCATCTTCTCTGCCAGAAGCTGACCCGCAGGGCCGCCAACAGCACTGGTGACCTCTAGCTCTCGGGCTCTTGGGAACGGCTGCAGGTACTCGATGATGGCGGGGTGGGGTGAGGGGGCGCCAGGGGCGGGGTCGAAGCCATAGGCTTTGAAGACACACACCGACTGCACGTTGTCGAATGTGAGTGTCTTGGCGATGTCGATGGCCGCCTGGCTGAGGCTGTCGATGGGGTGGGTGAGGTCATGCTGGCTGATGGTGTAGGTGATCTGTCTCGCCTGCCGGACCAGTGTCTGGATGGCCATCTGGAAGAAGCGAGATGGGTGGGAGGGGAATCTGTCGGCATTGAAGAGGGACAGGTCGAAGCGGTGCTGCTCGGACAGCTCGAAGGCCCCCGGTGTCGACATCACGGTGATGCGCGCGTCGGGCGTGCAGCATTCCTTGACGAGGCTGTCGACTGCGAGCAGGGAGTCGATGGCCGTGTGGTCGCCGAGCGGTGGCATCTGCACGTGGAGCTCTGTAAGCGACTTGTGGCAGCCGCGGGATGTGAGCACATCCTACAACACAAAAAACACAAAGACGTGACGAGCGTGCCCACAGGGACGTATGCGGCCTCTCTTGTGTGTGATGGCTGCCTAACTTGAGCCGCTCAACTCCCGCCTGGTACTCCTGATGTGTCTGTCCATCCCGATGCTTAATCACTCCGATGCTCTGCAGCTGACTCAGCGGCCCCGGCTGCCCAGCCGCTGCCTCGGGGATGTGCTCGAACACACTGGCCCACCGCTCACCCAGCCAACGGCCGCCCACGTGCTGGAGCGACCGTGACGAGCTGACAAACCTGCCCAACTTGCGCACCCTCCACCCCTTCTGCTCCACTGTCTCGACTGACGGCATCAGCCACCCTCTGTCGGCCAGGTCACCGTGCTGGTGGACGGCTCCGGTGATGGCCTTGAGTGAGGGGAGGGTGGGGGCCTCGGTGAGGGGAGGTGGGAGAGGGAGATCGTCACGTTCCAGCTCACAGCCCTCCGCCTCACTCATCCGCACCTCTTCGAATGCGATGGTCTCCAGCCGGCTGGCCGACTGTCGCACCTCGGAGGGCCTCTGAGGGGCTTCTCCCTGTGTGCCGGGCTGGTCGGTGGCGGGGGGCGGCTGAGTGGGGGCGGGCGGGGCGGCTGTGGTCTCAATGATGGTCACCAACACGTCACCGCACCACATGGGGTGATCCTCAGGGTGGCAGAGGGTGATGTGAGTGAGGCCGGTGAGCCGTGCCGCCATCCGCTTGACGTCATCAAGAGGGATCTTCTGCCAAAAAGTGCGGCCCTCGGTCGGCGATCGCCAGCAGTGCTCGTCGCCTTTGGTGGCACAGTCGATGAAGAGTCGTGTGTGGCTTGGGGCCGCCTGTTCCCACATCTGCTTGGTGCTCTTGGCCAGCCGCTGGGAGAGGGGGACGAGCACATGAAGGGGCAGACACTCCATCACCAACGAACAAATCTGCACAACTCACAAACAGGGAGAGCGTCAGGAGTGAGTCTGTCTGTCATTCACCGCAGATCCCCTCTGGCTGGTCTCACCGTGTCTATGCGCTGCTGCTGCTCTCTGTTGCTGTCCTCCACAGCACCACCACCATCACCAGCACCAGCCGGGCTGCCAACCACACGTAGTCGCTTGTTGCCATCACCAACACAAACCTGCACAGACACAGACATGGGCTGGTCCATGTGTGTGTGTGTGAGTGTGTGTGTGGGCGTACGGCTTTGCAAAAGTGCTGTGCTTCTGTGTTGGTCTCATCCGAACTCACAGCAGCGCCGCCCACGCGATGAATGCGCCGAAACAACCTGCCGTCGCCATCAGAAGCCTGACCACACACACACCAAGCTCTCCTCTGGACGTGTGTCTGCTGATGTGCGTACCTGTTGCTGATGCGGCGGTGTGTGGGTCTGATTGTGCGGGACGACCTTCTGGAACGGCTCCCGCACCCCGTTGACCGCCTCCACCGCCCTCAGGTACACCACTGTCCCTCCCTCGGTCGGCTGCACGCGATACACCTCGGCCAGCGCCATGCCCCTCTTCTGGACAGTCGACACCATCCACAGCCGAGTGCCTTCCTCGTAACTCTGAGGGCCACGGCGGGACACCAGCTGCACAACACACACAGACAGAGGCGACGGAGGAATGAGTGTGTCTGTCAGTCATTCGCTGCAGATCCCCTCTGGCCGGCCTCACCTCTTCTGTGCGCTCTTGGAGTTCTTCATCGCTGGCCGCTACACCATCCGCCTCCACATCACCTGAAGCAGCACCAGCAGCAGCAGCCGAAGCCGAAGCACCCCTCTGCCGCTGAGAAACAAGCAGCAACAGGCAATAGGACAATCATCACTCCGCTGCAGCCGACTTGCGTCACCTGCGCGGTTTCCCTCTCAGACATGATCTCTCTCTGTGCGATGAATGGCTAAGTCGTCTGGACCATCTCGACTCGACAGCCGCTGCCGTGCAGCACACCCGCCATCCGTCAAGCCATGAGGGGGTCATCCATCCATCCGTGGCTTACCGGCGAAAGGCTCTCGTCGTTGAGGCTTCTTATCGACGAAATGCGCTAACCACAGCACTCACGCTGCTCACGTGAGCACAACCAGCTGTAGAACACGCTGACTCCTCCCTCTCAACGCGAGCTGTGGCGATGGCTGGCGATCCATCGCAGGACTGCCGCAGATGGATAGAATGTGGTGCCGCCCAGCTCATGTGTGCTTGTTGTGCCGCTGTGTCTGCTGTGTTGCTGCAGATCTCTTCATTCATCTCACCAC